AAAAATTATTGTAAGTTTAAACAAAAAATAAGACAGGATTTCAAAGACAATAAGTATCGTGTTTAGCGCTGGAAAACTTTGCCTTTAAAAGTGCATAACTTTCAATGCTGTGGGTACAATCATTTGCAAAGTATAAAATGTTATTTTGGTCTTGGTTGGATGGAGTGGACGTATTTGAGAGGGAGCCTTGTCAAAGAGAAAGATTAGTTAAGCATGTATAGTAAATACAATCATGTATATGTTTTTGTGATTTAAAAGAAAAAAATGATAAATGCAATCACATTGTTGAATATTTAATCAATCCTTTCGTATCTTGGTGTTTGTTGTTGTCATTGGCATTAATATCTTAATGGAGATATCAACGACAAGTAATCGATTAATATCAATAAAGACTTAATTCAAGATAAATTGTAAATGAATCAATCATGTTGGACGGTCTCAAATACAAACAAATCACAATTTCTTCGATTTCCACTCCCTTTGTAAACATCACCATTATATGAGCTTAAGTCAGGCGTTATTCTGTTCATGAGAGATAACTTGTTGATAAAACTGCAAGTATATGAAATGATCAAATGTTTTCATATTTTAATTTGGATATATCAACAAAGTTGAAATGGTAAATTGGCAACCGTAACGATTACAAAAGCTGACGTTTCGAGCGTTACGGACACCCGTTCTTAAAGGCACAGAAAATCAGAAAGGTGGAATGGCGAAAAATCAGTCTAGAAAAGTAAAATTCTCAACCAAGCGAATGATTTCCAAAATGAAAAGGCACCGCACGTCGGCGCAAAGTGAGTGTGAATATTTTCACAACTCAATAATTACGTGTATCGCTTCATGCTAATAACACTTAAAAATCCAACCAGTCTTCAGACTCGCTGGAAAATTATCTTACAGAACTAATCTCTTGCTTTGTCTGGATAACTATCGCTGTTTTTGACAATTCTGAAGGCGAGGGCGACTGACGAACCACGATCGCACTTCGTAACGACGGCCAGCTAAAGTCAGCAAACAGCACAAAACTCCAAACAAAATGACTCCCCTGTACCGCTATTTGTTAAGACGTGGTTTTAGTATTAAAAACCCATTCAAAGGATCAACCATAATAAACAAGGAGAAGTATCATGGATATTTTCCGACTTAAAACCATGCAATAGGCCGCTATTTTCATCGAACTCAGTCCACAAACACATGGAAGTAGTTGGCAGCCTAATGTTGATAACCACTGACCACTGTGACGTCACCAAAACGTATTTCCGCGGTGTCAGTCCAGTCCACTGATCTTTTACTCGTGACGTCAGGAGCTTAGTTTCTTTCGGTGCTTGTCCCTTCATGGACTTGTAAACATGGCTACCATCCGTGAACAAGGTTACACCTCTGAAGTAGTTAGTTTACCAGAGACTTCTTCGTGTTTGTAGGTTTTCACTAGCAATGTAGCCTTCTGCAATGACAGACCTTTCCATAAAATTTGGACTCGATGTCGATAAGGCAATAAATCAACTTCTTGACTACAAGAACTCCCCGACTAAGCAGGTAGGTTTGTTTTCAATTAAGTACGCTTTCTTTGCCAAACGTTGCAGAATGGTAAACCAGTGCGGCGAATAGAATTGATTTAGATCGCTCATCGAAACATGAGAAGAAACATTTCGCGATACAGTCCTTTCGTTTCATTCACCAATTATTTCCTTTCTGCCAACAAAACTTTCGAGTAAAAATTAAAATTTTGCCCAAACAGTTCAGTTTGAGTCAAAACTAATTGCATTTACTCACTGACCCGCGAAAGGCGGGTCGCTTTAAAATGTAAGTTTTTTCAATTGCATAAAGGAAGGAAAAGCAGAATTTATATGTACATCAATAAAATATGAATTAGCATTATGAAGGTGTACACATTTAGTCTAGCACGTTCAGAGTTGTACTTAGTATCACAAAACTGCTCTATGCAAGAGAGTGCTTGCGCGTTTATCTACTTTTATTTTTCTAAGCCAAGCGTCAGTGATGTTTTGTTAACCAAATTAAGCCACTGTAATTATCTTTTCTTTCGTGTAGCCCTCAGGATCGACGGAATAATCTCAAAAAATTGCGGCCATTTGTTATAACTTTAAAGGCCACATAACTTTTGTTATGTGGCATGAACCAACAACAAGCTCTTCCTTATTTTAGTTGTTTTGTGACGAAAAAAATTAAAGTATAAAAAAAAAATGACAATGATGATAACCGTAGGAAAAATAACAGAAATATAAATGCAAATTTTAGTCAACCCAAACAACTTTAGTTTCGCTGTCAGTGCAGAAATTGAATTGAATGTTGATCAGCATGAATTAATTTCACCTGGCTTCTAATAATGGAGAGTGTTTTGGTTTATAACGATAAAGGAAACAGGATATCAGGCTCCAGTTGTTCAAAGGGAGATCATAACGCTATCCAACGGATAAATAGCTATCAAAAACTTACTGCGCTATCCACCGGATAGATCGAGATTTATCCAGTGTATAGCGTTATCCATCCTTCGAACAAAGGGGGCCAGGTGAATAAGGGTTTGGTTACATTTCTCCTTAGATGTTATGCACAATTTCACACGTTACACTCTTCAGTCAACAATGCTCCAAACCTAAACTTGATTTTAGTAGTTCCTGCAAGAGAAAGTGCTTGCTACAAATTAACTCAGTGGGAATGAGAGGTGAAGTTGAAACTGTAACAGTTCCTTTTTTCTCTTGTCTGTCTGTGTGCTGCTTAAATAAATACCTTAAGCTGTAATTGCACAGCTTTGATTTTAGAAAAATTATTGTAAGTTTAAACAAAAAATAAGACAGGATTTCAAAGACAATAAGTAATGTGTTTAGCGCTGGAAAACTTTGCCTTTAAAAGTGCATAACTTTCAATGCTGTGGGTACAATCATTTGCAAAGTATAAAATGTTATTATTTTGGTCTTGGTTGGATGGAGTGGGCGTATTTGAGAGGGAGCCTTGTCAAAGAGAAAGATTAGTTAAGCATGTATAGTAAATACAATCATGTATATGTTTTTGTGATTTAAAAGAAAAAAATGATAAATGCAATCACATTGTTGAATATTTAATCAATCCTTTCGTATCTTGGTGTTTGTTGTTGTCATTGGCATTAATATCTGCTTATGTAGGGCCTCTTTGCAGATAAGAACCTGTTTCCTTGCTATGTTTAAATAGTACTAATTGGAATGATTTAAAATTATGGTCCAAACAGGTTCAGCTTCCTGAGGGAACAATCCGATTATTATGCCAGGTTTCCAGAGAAGTTTTCATGCAAGAGGGTGTGCTTTTAGAGCTAGGTGCACCAGTTAATATTTTTGGTGATATCCATGGACAGTATGATGATCTTTTGAGGCATTTCGACAATCTAGGTTATCCTCCAGACATTGCCTGCTTATTTATGGGAGACTATGTAGACAGGTATGGCAAGATAAGTATGTAGTTTGTTAAATACCAATTATTTGGCATTTTTTAGCCAATTGGCACCGTTTCTCTTCAAATGAATAATTATTAAATCCTCCTTTGTTGAAATTATTATTTCTAGGACATTTATGAATACCATCAAATTTAGTAAATTTTTAGGGTGTCCACTTTTTTGTCTGATCGAGTTCTTCTTTCAGGTGTTGTTCAAAACTTTGGAATTCTATAATTTGTGTTAATATGTGTATTTGCTCAGGGGAAAGAAGTCCTTAGAAACAATTTGTTTACTACTGGCTTACAAAATCAAGTATCCCGATAAAATGTACCTGCTGAGAGGAAACCATGAGTCTGCTTCCATTAACAGGTGAATTTACTAAACTTGTAGAATAGTGAATAATAGATAAAACAAACAAACAAATGGTATTGAGTCAAAGAAGCAGTTTGGCCAGAGGTGTTTAGCACAGGACCCCACTGATAACAGTGCTCCTGCACTGAAGGGCTATCCTGTATAAATATTCATTATTATTATTATTATTATTATTATTATTACTATTATTATTATTATTATTACTATTATTATTATTATTATTATTATTTTTATTATCACTGCTGTTTTCCCTTAGTTCTCTCTGTCATGATAAAAACACACTAACAAATGGCACAAAGTCAAGGAGGCAGTTTGACTCAAGATGTATTACACTGCTGTTTTCCCTTAGTTCTCTCTGTCATGATAAAAACACACTACAAATGGGCACAAAGTCAAGGAGGCAGTTTGACTCAAGATGTATTGCACTGCTGTTTTTCCTTACCTCTCTCTGTCAGGACTGGAGGAGGGGGGGAACTTCTCCTCCTCATTGGGGTGGGGGATCTGACTTCCTCTACTTTTCACATCAGTTCCTTCCCTTTATCAATTGACCTTCCTGCCTTCATAATGTTACTTCTACCTCTCTTCAGCCCATTTGGTACTCTCCCCAGGTACTCTCCTCAGGTACCTTCAACTTGTTTCCACACTGCACAGGCAGGTGTTACAATTCACAATTTTAAGTGGAGAAAAGTTGGGAGGGTTTTAAAAATATTCTCTTGGGAACAACATGAAGTGATCCTAGTGTTAATCCAGCCTGCATGAACCTGAGTATAATTATTAGTTGCTAAGAATCATTTAAACTGCAGCAGAGTGTGGGAAATTGTCAGCTTCAATTTGTCAGATAGGTTTGGCAGTCTGACATTTTTTCTCATCACCTCATTATTTTCATGTTGTCTGTGTTTGTTAGACTGAATTTTCAATTTGTTTTGTCTCTGCAGAATCTATGGCTTTTATGATGAATGTAAAAGAAGATACAACATAAAACTCTGGAAAACATTTACAGACTGCTTCAACTGTCTACCAGTTGGTAAATGCTCTGTTACCGTGATTGTGATATTTTAGATAAGATATATATGTCAATATTATTAATATGCTCCAGAGTTTCGATGCAACGTAGAGAATAAAACTACATTGCTTTTCTTTGGGTGGACTCATGAACACAATTAGCAAAATGTTTCAATTTTTACATAGTATTGGTGTCATTTTCAATTTATTTGACAAATAAATAGCAATAAAACTGCTTAGATTGATCTTGACTTAAACATTTGCAAACTTTTCTAACTCTGTACTTGAACTTTTTTAGCTGCAGTTGTGGAGAGCACCATTTTTTGTTCTCATGGAGGGCTTTCTCCAGATTTACATGACTTTGATCAGGTTGGTCCATGGCACCTGTTATTGCATTGAAAATTTATATGGCAAAAGGTAAAATAAAGATATTACAGTTGACTTGACTCTAATAGTGATGAAGTACACAGAGATGAGGTTGAACCGTGAGAATTTAATTGAATCGATGTGCTGAAGAGACCTGTGAACTTCAATGGACTGTTTAAATCATCATGTTTTTACTGATCTGTTGAATTTGCTGATTTGCCCACAAATTTTGTATTCTTGTGCATCCTAAACGCAAATACAAGTGCATGCTATAGACTAAGCAATTCGGTATTTCAAGCATTTAATTTCCGCATTTTCTAAGCATCATAGAAAGTCCATACAAATTAGTTTCGAAAACGTCTTGAAATCGTTAAGTTAGGACAAGAACAACACAAACAACTTTTCAGGCGAGTAAAGAGACTTTTATTTAATCTTTATGAAGTTTTCCAGCAATACTAAGTGCTTGCTTGTATGGGCTTCCTATTTCATCATTCTGGGTAAACATGAAAGCTGCCCCTCTGTTCTTTAGGAACTCAGTGGACTCTTTAGTGAAACAATTCATGACAGTAGCAATTGTTAATGTTTAGCTGCGCTCTCTGGAGCGGCCCATGGATGTTCCTGACAAAGGACTTGTTTGTGATCTACTTTGGTCTGACCCAGATGAGGTATAGAAATGAGTAAATTTGCATGGGTTTTTAATTCGGGTCCAGTTGATAATCACCGACTGACTTCCGATCTTCTTTCGGGAGTGGTTTAGACGTGAGATTATATTATTATTGCTGAATTATTGCGTCGGTCGCATGATAGATGTGGGTTACGAGTAACATTTTCAAGGTATACACCAAACTTTGTCGATGCATACGTAAAAGGTCTGAAACTGGTTCGACAAAGCGAGGAGAAACAATAGGAATAAACACTGTTCTCATGAAAGTTTCCTAACTGAAAAAAAAAATTACCATTTTTTTATGCATGAGTCATGCTCATTTCGAAAATTATCAATTTGAACGCACTAAAACGTAATTTGTTTGGTTGCCTAACTTCAAATTAGGGTTGTCTTTATCAATTATGGATGAACATAATTACCTTGCAAGTTTACCAACCTATTTTCGTGCATTTGGCACTTAGTATTTCCAACATTTTTAACGGTTAATTTCGCTGGAAAAGGCCGCGCGTTCTGGGCACTTGCTCCATGCAGGCTCTACGTTTTTCAGCGTTTGCAATTGCACTGTTTGTTCTCCCGCCCTTCCCTCTCAATCAGTTATGCTATATTGAGCTTCAAGAACTCTTAGTATTTCTATTACATGCTGTTGTCCATCCAATTAAGTGTTGTTGAGATCCTTTGCTGTTTTAAGGTCATTTTCAGGAGTTTCTTTCTCCTAAATGTTTATTCTCAGGACATAACTGGTTGGGGCGAAAATGACCGCGGTGTATCGTGGACATTTGGCGGTGATGTTGTCCGATCATTTCTTAAGAAGCACGACTTGAGCTTAGTAGCGCGTGCTCATCAGGTAAAGAACAAGAAATTATTTAGCGGAAATTTCCCTCGGACCTTTCGAAGTGTGATTATCCGCGTTTTTGAAGCATACAGCAGTTGTGGATGCAGTATTTAAAGTAACCCGGTTGGTTCTCCTTCACTTCCACTTCACTGTCATTGGTCAGGAAACTCGCGCCTTCCTGTGTCAAACAATCTGCTACAAAACTTATTCAATCTGTGCCTCAGTTTTATTTGGCTCCGTCAAGAGATTATAAACTGATCTCTTGGCTCAGTGTAATTTTTGCCTTTGCGAGGCAGTACTGGCCGTAGGGGTAACGTTGGTTGGTGTGTTACGGTATTCGTTCTAAGGACCGACGGTGTTGATTTTGATAGTGGAACAGGCGAACCTTCCCCTCTCCCCGAAAGCAGAATGAGTGACAGGCTCAGGTTAGGCTGATACTAAGAGGTTCAATTCACTTGTTATTTAAGACTAGGAAAGTAATTTTTTTGTTACTATACCAAAGGTATGTACCTAGCTTTAGCGAGGCAAACGTTAGCTGAGCTTCTGCTGCAATTTCATTCATGCATGGTGGTAATTTTTTGTGGCTTTCTCGGTTTTCTTTCCTAGGTTGTTGAAGAAGGTTACAGATTTTTCGAGAAGAGGAAGGTATTTAAATGTGCTCGCTTATTGCATGTAAAAGAACGTTGTGAGATGAAACATGCTGCAAAGCACAGTTATACAGCCTCTTCCATAGTATTCTTGTACAGCGACAATGACGATGTCACCCGTCGCAGTGAAATTGTGCGAGGTTGAAGGAAATATTTTTTTCAGTAACTTATCCCTAATAAGTGTCACTGCTTTACCACAGTAAACAGCGAAAAATGTTTTGTCAGATGAATAAAGGCTGATAGTCTCGAAAGAAACTGTTTGGGGCTGCGTCGGTGGGAGTAACGAAATAATTTGGATATATCAACAAAGTTTAATTGGTAAATTGGCCACCGTAACGATTACAAAAGCTTTTGTAATCGTTACGGTGGCCAATTTACCGTTTCAACTTTGTTGATATATCTAAATTATAATGTTTTGTCAGAACTATTAGAGGGGAAATTGCAGGTGTAAATGTGGTTGTAGATTGGATGTAAACCTGAGACGAAAAAAATTTGTCTAGTATGATTTCACTTCATAAACGTTGTTTGAAGTGACAGGCAGTTTCATTCCTCTTTTTTTGTCCTTAATTTCCAGCTCGTTACTCTGTTCAGCGCTCCAAATTACTGTGGTGAGTTTGACAATGCTGGTGGCGTCCTCATAGTCAGCAAGAACCTAATGTGTTCTCTAAGTATTCTCCAGGTAAATTGCAAGTTTTAGCGTTTTTTTTATTTTGCAGTCCCATTCATTCGTCTTCATCCTTGTTAATGGAGTAATATCCTTGGCTTAAAAAATTGTCTTTTACTGATTTTGATGCGATCTTGTTTCAGCCCGACAGCTTAACGATTAACATCAAAGACAAGAAGAGTGGGCACCTTAATCGTTCTTCCAATCAGATTCAAGTCCAATAGTTCTCGTTATTTGGTTATTTAAGCACAGTTGATGGCAAGCATATTAATGGAAGAAACTTTTTGGATTGAGAACGCTTGCTTTTTTATTTATAGTCTTTTTTAATGTTATTTATTGAGGTAACCATCAGAAAGTTATAAAAACATGTATTTGTAGATCAAATAAAGCTTTTCATAACATTTTTTATACATAGTGGAAATGCGTCATCTTTTTGGAGCTTGCACTGTACTATTCCACCTTCGATATCGTTACAAGTTGTGGAATTTGTGGGAGGACGATCTCACGGGGAGATTGAATAGCTGGCTGTGAAATTAAAGGGTAGTGGTAAAGAACAAGTTTCCTTTGGAACAAAATCTTTCCAACCTGAAATTGAAGTAAGCTTTTCCGAAATGGAACAGAAGCTTTCTTAATTGGTGCTCCATATAAGTGTGAAACATGTTCAAATTAGAGCTAGCCTTTCCAAATTGTAGCCGAATCTGTCCAAACTGGAGCAAACCCTTCCAGATTGAGGAGGCCCCAACAAACTGAAGGTGAGTATACGAAACCATCGAGTTTTAATAGGAATGTAACTCTTTGTTCTCATTCATAATTATACTATCAATTCTAGGATTTTGATGCTAGGTGTCCTTAATCAAATCACGAATTGCTTAAACTATTTACTAAATATGTACAGGTGAATGCAGTAGATTCGTTCAGAAATGTTTTGGAAAACCGGACAAAGTAGTCGT